CACACTTAAAAGAAACAAACCACACAATTGAAGATGAACAAGTAAAAATCCTAGGAACAGAAAAGAGATGGTTTGAAAGGGGAGTAAAGGAAGCGATTTTTGTTCAAAATTTTTCACCCTCTCTGAACCGTGAAGGAGGTATCAGATTTAACCTGTCTCCTATTTACAATAACTTGTTGACCACCAAGGGACATAGACAGGCTGATCAGGCTAACTGGAAGTAGCAATTCAGCCCTAGCCCAAACAACAGGCCTAATCAAGACCCAATGATAGGGAATTTAGAAATCAATGGGCCTCTTCACCATAGGGGCGTGACTAACCATCCCCACCCAGTCCTCAAACAGGCCACGCTCAGCTTTTTAGCGCAGAGCAACTTCCCGTAGTCTTCACGGAGACTTCAGGGTTGTCTACCGCTGACGAAGCTTCTGCGAGAGAAGCGAAACGTCCTTTTTAGTTTTTTGTTTTTTACCCACAGGTACAGATGACGACTGACAGAACCCTTTCTACGATGGAACTTTCCTGTACGACTGAGAGCCTCCACAAACAACTTATACTTTTAATGAAAATGAATTAACATCAAGTAAAAACTGTCAAGACAAATGTGTACAAATCCAATTTCAACATGTTTGAATAAGTTTCATTCTTTAAATGGAATGCTTTTTAGAATTTTTTTTGTCAGAAATCAAAACCATTTCATGAACACGTGAAATGATATTTAATTATAAATACATCATGAAAAAAATATTGAAAATGTTTACATGAAAAATGATTACAAAATGGATTTTTTAAAAAATTATATTTAATAGGGAAACAAAAGATTTTAACAGACTGACATATTTTTATAAAACATTGCATGGACGTTTACAATTAAACATGACATCAATAAAAAGCTGAAAAAAAACGTTTTCCAATCACCTGCCGGGCCAAATATTTTGTAATCATTTACTTCACTTCCGGGTCACTTCCGGGTTGAGTGAACGCTGGCGCGTCTGGCTGCTGCTGCTCACCCGCTATTATTCTTTTTTAGCGTTTGTTTTACGGGTTTTTTTACGGTTTACTCTCGTCATGGGAGAACCCCTCCTCTCCTGTCGCAATTCGTTGTGGTTTTGGACCGTCGGTCGTCGCACGGTTGTCCTCGGTCGCGCTGTCGCGGCGTCCTGCCTGTTCGGCTATCGGACGGTGCTCCGTGCCTTCTCCGCTCCTCTGCGCCCCGTGGTGGGGGTCGACGGGTCCTGTGTCTGGGCTACGCTGCTGTGGACCGTCCTGTCGCTCCTCCATCTGCCCGTGGGGGGACTGCTGCGGTGCTCAGTGGCGGGACTTCTTGAGCTCCGCTTCCGGTGGTCGGGCTCCCCGCCTGTGCTGCACCGTTTCCCGGGCGTCACAGCGTCAGAACCGGCGGCCGATCCGCGTACCACGGCGTGTTGGCCGGCCTGGCTGGGTCAGCTGGTGCTCTTTGCGGCGGCGATGTTGCCGGCGTCAACTATTTCGAGTCGCTAAATTCAGTTTAAATTCATCTCTCCTTTTATTATTTATAATTTTATCTGTGGTTTTATTGTTCTTGTTTTGATTGTAAAGTGTCCTTGAGTGTTTTGAAAGGCGCTTATAAATGTAATGTATTATTATTATTATTATTACTTACGTCCATAAAAGTGCTGTTGCCCTGGTAACGGCTTTGTGTTGCATCATCTGCAGCATCAGCATCAATCAAGGTCGTGAGCGCAAGTCATCATGGGAATTAAGGCAAGGATGCTTTGGGCGCGTCATAACGTCCCAATTGCGCATGCGCCATGCCGTCACGCCAGCTGACCGAGTAACATCAAATCGTGTCCCTAATAAATCGGGGGCTGTGGTGGGGGGGGGGGTTGTCCATGCGTGCATGCCGCGGCCACCGTAGCGCATGGCGGCCCTCCATGACGAGGACGACCACCACGACGATGAGGATGGGTGCGCGCGCACGTCAACGGGGGGCGGGGCCACGTCACGACATCTTTTCCACGCAGAACCCGTAAAAAAGGCGACTTGAGGGCGTGTGTGGACGTGCTGCGGCTCGCGAGGAGCAAACCAACCAAGCTTTGTGGTCGGTCGGGCTGATCCACGCTCAGATCCGAGGACCTTTGAAGCACCATTTCGCCAGCATCACTCACCTTTCCGCCTCTTTTTTGTGACAACACCGATTGGACTATTCCTGTTTTAGCTAGGTGCGTTTGTCGTTGCTTCTTCCCGCTGGTGGGCTTCTCTGAGGCGAGGCTTCGGTTCGGTTGGCTTCGGTTCGGCTGCTGTTGTAGCACCGCGGACAGCGCCGAGCTAACGACGTGCGCTTGTTTCCTCGCAGCGGTCAGCGCATACGGGCGGCTTGGAACGCGGAAGGCCACCTGAGGATCGGCAACGACTGCAGGCTTAGCCTTTCTTCGGCCCCCTCGTAACAGGACCAAGTCAGCAAGACGATGGAAGGACAGCAGGTGAGTGTTTAAAACCTCACCCTACCCTGTTCTTTAACTCTCAACGCCGACATAATCATCTCGTCTAATATGATTACAGTAAATTTGATTGGATTTCACCTACTGTGTCTAGTAAAAAGGTAGCAAAATTAAATTACATCCAAGTGCAGATTTCCACATTGTGCATCTGTATTTTTTTTCTGACTATATCTAATGAGCCTTCGTTATGCCCATTATTTTGATGCAGTTTATTGATTTTTTTTAATTGCTGAGAGCCAGAGAAACACACAACATGAAAGAAAGGTTTTATTTTCTAAATCCATGTCAACTTGAGTTCATTTCTGCAGGGTATGACTTTCATCATGAGTCAAGTTTCCTTTTGAAACGATGTTGTGTGGCTATTAATAATTGATAAATATTTAGATGCTTAAATAGGATACTTGACTCTGATGGAACAAAGTAGCCTGCACGTCCTGATGCGAACAAAGTAGCCTGCACGTCCAAAACAATAATTATTTAAAAAAAAGACGCTATCTGTTTTGCAGTGAAAATTATTGTCTTTGAAGCCTTTTGTGTTGCATAATTAAAATTTATATAATGTGATGCCAAATCTCTCATGCCATTGATGTAATGTTTTTATGCTATCTACGGTCATCATCATTAATTTGTTTTATTGTTTGTTGTTTTGCTCCATATACATCACTTTGTATACAGTGGTGGTTGTTTTAAAGTGCTGTAGAAATACAGTTGAGATTGATTGTTCAATCAATCAAAGGTCATGCGTGCGCACACGCACACAAGATGCTGTGTCACTCTCAGCACTCAGCTGACAGATTTTTTTTTGCCCTTCGTTGAAGTCAACGCAACGCAATTTTCTGGATGTAGCCAAAGGATTGTCGAAATTGCGACACAAAAGCTTGAAGAAAGTCAGAAACTCATAAATCAATTTTGAACAATCCATTTGATTTGTACCCAGACAGGCCGAGAAATAACCCGAGAGCAAAGAAGGACAACAAGGATGAATAATTAATGAATATAGCAATCGCTTTACCACAAGATCACGCTGGGCATTGAAAAAAAACCTCGAGAAGCAAAATACCGATCACAAAAATTGAAAAGCAGCAGCATGATGTTGAACTGTGAGAATGAAGCGAAATCTATGCAAATGCATACGTGACAGTTTGAAGAGCAGCCTGTAAACTTTTAACACTTCCAAAATGTTGTTTATGTTTAGTTTTTTTTTTTTTACTCTCAACATGTTGCCTTTCCATTCGGCTCTTTTGACGAACACTTCAACGTGTATCTTGTCGAGAGAAGAGCAGCTCTTGGTATTGTAATTTTTCTTCCTGCCATGTGGCAAACATGTGACTTGGTGTGGTGATGAGCAAAGGGCTATTGACATGTTGGGGGCGGGGGCCAACTCTTAATCATACAAACTTTGTGTGATTTTGGGTCCAAAAAGTAGCATTTTGCACGCCACCCATGTCGAGGCACCCTTACATATTTTATCAAATTATATTTTTAAAAAATACATTAAATAAAAACGGTAACGATGAAACATTATGAAATACTTGAGTGATTGTGGCCCGTTCTTTACTAAAACACATGAAAAAATATGCACTTTGATGTCGCAAAGAAGCGCTTGGGCAGTTTGGTGTCATCCCGATGACATATCAAGAGGCCATCAAAGCTCGTTTGATCGCTTTCTGCTCTTTGTTGATTGCGAATTTGGGAGGCGAGACGCCAAACTGGAAGGATGGTGAGATTACAGGTCGCCCCCTCGTGGCCCAAATATGAATGCGCAAAAGGAAAAAAAAAAACAAAAACAAACATCGGCTCACTCAAGGACGTCCTTCGGTGTCCTCCGCACTTCCTGGCCTGGCAGCAGCGACCGATTGTGTGCTGCTGACTGAGCACAAGCAAAAAAAAAAAAAAAAAAAAAAAAGACAACGATGTACTGGTCGCCATGATGTCAGTGTCAAGAGTGACAACACATTGAGACAAATGAGCGACAGCTAATTCCCTTGAAAAAGTAACTTTGTTACTTTACTGCTGCCTCGATTATCAAAGAAATTTAGGGTAGATGGAGACCGAGCAGTCGTCGTCTTTCTTGCCCTCTTCCTGTAACGTTTGCTGGCCGAAATGCAGGCGGTCGCCATGACGCCGACATTCGCGAGCTCCCCGAAGTCACCGCGGATGAACGTGGCGTCGATATTTAGATCAATGCAGTCCTACTTCCCAATCGACCGTCTTCACTTTTCCGACATTTCAATTGAAAACGCGTCCATAATGAGCTGTGAGCTGTACCAACTCATGTATTCGAGAGTTGGGTGGGTGATCTTTTGCACGTTATTGAACGCGGCATTTCAATAGGGTGACGTGTTAATCGATTACACTGTACAGTGGTACCTCTAGTTACGTAATGAATTGGTTCTGGAAGAAATTTCTGAACTAGAACATTTTGTAAGTAGAGACACGTTTTCCATGTAAATGCCCTAATTCGTTCCAAGACCCCCCCCCCAAAAAAAAAAATTTCGAAAAAATATAAATGGATCAAAATATGGAACAAATATATGTTACAATTCGATTACTGCACAATAAATGAGAGTTGTGCATAATGTATAAAAAAAAAAAGAATAAACACATACCTGTCAACTTTTTGGAGCGCCAACCTGTATAAACTACCAAAAAAATCCTTATAAAGAGCAAAAAATCCTTAGCAGGAAGAGCTTCACATCATTTTTATACCATCAGAAGGGCGGTACCGAGACACAAAGTGTGATATCATAACTTTCGTTTCTCCTAAACCAATTCTCAGCTTGGCGCATTCCAAAGTTTGTGCGTCTTCAGCAGGGAGTATTCCAATTCTAGGTGATGATTGTTACAAAGACGCAAAGCTATACTGCGAACATGGGAAAGTTATACAGCATGACTGAATATGAGCAGAGTACAAACTAAATATGAGCAGAATATAGACTTCATTCTCCATAATACAATGTCTGGTTAATGTCTAATCATCATTCTACTTCGTGGCATTACTGGAAAGTTAGTGGAAATGAAAGCATTCGCGTAGACTACCACCATTCTGGGCAAAAGCAAACGGAACTACCTGTTAGGGGGGGGGGGGGGAAAAAAGGAAATAAAAAGGAAATTTTCAAAATCCGTATGATTTGTGCGATACGGCCATATACGTAAGATTCACCACAAAATCCGTATGAACTATGGCTAAACCGTATGAGTTGACAGGTATGTAAACAATAAAAATGATGGTCATTTAACTTTTAACTGTGTCCTCATCGTTTTTCGCCCTCTTTCGTCCATGTTCTCTCTCAGAAGTGGTTTTTGCCTGGCGTTTTGTAAAGAACCGATCCAAGAACGTTTGCTTTTGTCGGCTTTAAACAATGCTTCGAAAATGTCCAAGGGCGAACATCAGCATCGTGGGCGATCGCCCGACTGGTGAACACTTTTTCCGGATGATTCACTTTTACGTAAAACTATCGGAAACCCTCTTGGCCCGAGCGGCAAAAGACAAGGATGCTGCATAAACACATACCTATCTATCAACACACATAGAAACATACGGTCGAGGTCCCTCTTAGCCAATGGGATGCCAGGAAGATGCTAGGTAATAGCCAATGGCAGAACAAATATAAGTATGTTGCATTCAGGAAACTCGGAGCTGTGACTAGCAGCCAATACTGTATTTTTACCTTTCGTTTCTTGAAATTTCTTTCGTAACAAGAGGCAATATTTTCCTGTTTCGTAACTTGAAAATTTCGTCTGAAGAGACGTTCGTAAGTAGAGGTACCACTCTGTGTGTGCATGTGTGTGTGTGTGTACATATACATACATACATATAATTTTTTTTTTTTTTTTTTACTTAGTATGGCCGCCATGTTGTCTTGTGATTTGTGAGCGATGTGGTGCTGCTGGTTAAATGCTTTCTGGTCTTTGTTTGCGGCGGCAGGGCAAGCAGGTGACGGGCTACCTCCTGTTCTCCCTGACGACGGCCGTCATCGGCTCGCTGCAGTTCGGCTTCAACACGGGCGTCATCAACGCGCCCGAGCAGGTTGGTGTCTGCAACATTTCTTCCTCGGCATCAATTACTTTTGGTAAAAGGGCAAAGTTGAAATCGGGGCTGTCCAAACTTTTTCATTTGAGGCTGCTTTTGAAATGCTCTGAATTGAGTTGATCAACCCTGTCACCTGATAACATGATAAGCTGTCCACCGTAGTAACCCCTGTCCCTGAAAGGGTTAAACACACAAAACTCAATCCAGTCAGCAATTGTATATTGTTGATATTTTCAAATTATTTTGGAAAAACTGTCGTTATCGGTGACGAGGCAACAAGTTTGGGATTTTTGGATGACCTGGGCCTTGTAACCTACCAGACTAGATCCACCCCTGCCGGAGTAGACCGGTCGAGGGGTTGGACACGCTTATGAAGTCATAAGTCCATAATTGTTGCCTTGATGCAGTTTTATTTCCAAAGATGAGTGATCAAAGACGAACGTACAATGCCCCGAAATATGTTCTGTACTTTCCAAACAAAGAAAGCGGCGAGCTCATGGTTCAAAAACTCTTTTCCACTGGCTGCTTGGACACCTTGCAAACTGAGGAGCGCTTCCTACTTGAATAGGTGTGCGAGCAAGAGCAACTCGATGACTTCCACATGTGTACCCGAACACAAAAGTGGCTCCTCCTTGCAGATCGCCGAGCACATCAGAAAGCTGACGGAGGAAAAAAAATAAAGAGGCTGACTTTGAAGAATCGAAATTTATGACAAACGTATTCTGTATTGATTCACATAGATTTGTTCACCAAATAATTTCTTAGCAATGTCGATGACTTGAAGAATGACAATTATGGTAAAGAATGAAAGGCATTGATTTTTTTTTTTTCAAACCAGCGGATGGAGGGCTACAAATGGCCCCGGGACCTTGCTTGGACACCACTGGTTCAAAGGTTCGGCTCCAAAAGCATAAAAGCGGTCACGCAGTCGTCGCTGAGCGCCCTTTTTTTTTTGTTGTGTTTTTGAGAAACTACGTGCGTTCTTCAACGACACCTGGATGGAGCGCTACGGCGAGCCCATCGACGCCGGCGTCTGCACGATAGTGTGGAGCGTCACCGTCGCCATCTTCAGCATGGGCGGCATGGCGGGATCCTTCAGCGTGGGCGTCATGGCCGACCGCTTTGGCAGGTGGGCGCCCTCGTCGGCGCGGCACGTCCGCTCTGCGCTCTGCGCGCAAATGTCAAATCAAGCATTGGCGCCTGCGACGTCCCGCAGGAAGCGCTCCATGTTCCTGGTCAACATCCTGGCGGTGATCGGCGGGCTGTTGATGGGCTTTTCCACCTTGTGCTCATCGTACGAGATGGTGATCGCCGGCCGGCTGGTCATCGGCCTCTTCTGCGGACTCTTCACGGGCTTGACGCCGATGTACGTGGGTGAAGTGTCCCCCACTCCGCTCAGGGGCGCTTTCGGCACTTTGCACCAGCTCGGCGTGGTCGTCGGCATCCTCATTGCTCAGGTCAGCTGCTCTGACAACCGCCGGTCGCGCATGCATACACCAACGTAGAACTCATTTAGCAGCGTTAGAGACCCAGATTTTTTTTTTTTTTTTTTTGCGGGCAGATCTTGGGCCTGGAGAGGCTGCTGGGCTCGTCGCGCCTGTGGCCGCTGCTGCTGGCGCTGACGGTGGCGCCGGCCGTGCTGCAGTGTGTCCTGCTGCCCTTCTGCCCCGAGAGCCCCCGATTCCTACTCATCAACCTCAAACAGGAGGAGGAGGCACGTAAAGGTCAGCCTCGGTCTCGCCATCGCTTGCGTTTCCAACCGCACCTTTAGTCATTCGCCGAAACTAAATTGCACGTGTTATTGAGGAAAAATCTTTTTTCACAATTTTTTTTTTTCAAAGGGGTAATTTTATTTATTTTTTTGCAAATTTGAAAGAGAAAGTACGATGCTTGACAGGAAAAAAAAAAAAAAACTAGCGCTACAAAAATTTGTTATTTTCAGTTGGTCGAGGTGATTTTACCGTATTGGTCCGAATATAAGACGGGCCTGATTATAGGACGACCCCCTCTTTTTCAAGACTCAGGTTTGAAAAAAGACTTTTTGAACACCAAATTAATTTTCATACAGAAACATTACATCATCTGAAACAAATGATTTAAACAATATATTTGAGAGAAAAAGCATGTTGTTTTGCCTCATTCAAATCTAAAGTACAATCGCATTCGTAAATGAATGGCCTCTGGTTTTTGAAATGTAAATGACATCATAACTTCTCCTCAGCTGCCAGTTAACCTGGCCGATCTTCGGCCCACTTTTCTCCAGATTGTCGCTACGTTTCTCCATTTTCTGTTATCTCTTCTATTATTTTCTTCTCTTTTCTTTCTTACCGCTATTTTTTATTTTTCTTCTTTTTGCTACCGCTGCTTTTACTTTTATTCTTCGTGGCAGGGGTTCACTTTTGCCTGGGGAGTTTAGTTCAGCATTCGCTTCAATGATATCTGGCGCCATCTAGCGTCGTGAATGGGTAAAATGTCTAGACCCTGAATATAAGACGACCCCCACTTTTTCAGTCTTATTTCAATGCAAAAAAACAATATTAATTTTATTTTCCTTTCACAACGTCGGTCCGCGTGTCCATTGACCCGCGTGTGTGCACCTTGATGTGCGCAGCGCTGGTGCGACTGCGCGGCAGCGAGGACGTGGGCGGCGACCTGCAGGAGATGAAGGAGGAGAGCAACAAGATGGCGCTGGAGAAGAAGGTGACCATCCTGGAGCTCCTCCGCTGCCCGAGCTACCGCCAGCCGCTTCTCATCGCCGTCATCCTGCAGCTTTCGCAGCAGCTGTCCGGCATCAACGCCGTGAGTGGCCGCGCCGCGCCGCCCTAACATTTCCCTTTCCGCCCAAAAAGCACAGCTTTGTGTCCACAGGTCTTCTACTACTCGACAGGCATCTTCAGCTCGGCTGGCGTCAGCCAGCCCATCTACGCCACCATTGGTGCCGGCATCGTCAACACTGTCTTCACTGTTGTCTCGGTGGGTGCCCGCTCTGGGATTTTCTCTCCTTTACATGCAGTCACTTCTATTCTTTCCCGTTGCTCACACTTGGGTAAGTTGTGTTACGTTCTGACTGGAACCTGATGACATGATAAGCTGTCCACTGGAGTGACCTCTGTCCCCGTAAGGGTTAACATTCGAATAACTTTGATTTAATTTGCTGGGGCTGAAAAGTCTTTCAAAAGTGTTAACTCATTCAGTACCAGCCAATTCTGGACCAAGTTTGAAAAGACGTTTCAAAACGTCTTTGGGAGTGAATGAGTTAATATCCACTCGTGAGTGACCTGTCGGGAAAAGGCGCTTGTTGACTCGGCGTTGGTGTGCAGCTGTTCCTGGTGGAGAAGGCGGGCCGCAGGACGCTGCACCTGCTGGGCTTGGGCGGAATGGCGCTGGCGGCGCTGCTCATGACCGTCTCGCTGCTGCAGGTGAGTGGCCCGCCCTGCATCGCTGCTTCCCTGACGAATGTCGCTCGTCTGACCGGGTGTCTCACCCCCTCCGCCGCCACCGGCAGAAGGACATGGCCGGCATGAGCTACGTAGCCATCCTGTCCGTCATGGTGTTCGTGGCCATGTTCGAGCTGGGCCCGGGCCCAATCCCTTGGTTCATCGTGGCCGAGCTCTTCTCGCAGGGCCCGCGGCCCGCCGCCATGGCCGTCGCCGGCTGCTGCAACTGGACCTCCAACTTCCTTGTTGGAATCAGCTTCCCCAAACTTGAGGTAACCCCAAAAAAACAAAACCCCCGAGTACTGCATACTCCCAAGCTCAAAGGATAATCTCACGACACGACTTTTTTTTTTTTTTTTTTAAAGCATCATTTTTTGACAGAAAAATTAGGTACCGTATTTTCCGCACTAAAAGGCGCACTGGATTGTGAGGCGCACCTTCAATTAATGGCCTATATTTTAATTTATTTTCATATATTGCACGCCCTGGACTATAAGGCGCAATCTACAATGCATCCACTAGATAGAGCTACAGGTACGTTTTTGTCCGTCTCTCCGTTCCTTCTCTTCTTCCGAGACTTGAGAGACGTTCCACGACTGCTCCAAAAAAGAGTAAATTTACGATTACTTCAATGAATCTACGAAAATTGAAAATACAGTAATGCATCAAAACAGAAAATCACAAAATAAATTCTATAGCCCCGTAGCTGCAACTGAACAATGAGATGTCAGTAAATTTGATCTTAGTTTTACTGTTTGGTGCCTACTACCATCTTTGTTACTGATTATTGCTTTGTTGTTGTATATATATGGTAGTTGCTCCATGTACAGGACTTTGTATGCAGCAATGGCTGTTTGAAAGTGCTCTTTAAATACAGTTGAGTTGAGTTAAATTGGAGGAGACTGGACTGTCTCAGACGTGTTTATTTATTCCTTTGTTGTGTACTGTATTCACAAACGAGGAAGTCACAAAATCAATTCTGTAGTGGGGGCTATAGAATTTATTTTGTGATTTCCTCGCTTGATTTTCTTTTTTGATGCATTATTTTCATTTTTTGTAGTTTCATTGAAGGAATAGTTAATTTACGTTTTTCGAGGCAGTCATGAACGCCTCTCGAGTCGGAACGGAAGAAGAGAAGGCACGGAGACGGACAAAGACGTACCTGTATTTGTTGAGACTGTGAAAACCATTAATAAAGTGTGCGTTTTAAAAAAAAACAACACCACAGCTCTCCTTTTTTCGGAGCTGTAACAAAAACTTATTTCATAAAGCAGCGATACAGTTCACTCAACCAACAGCAAGTTATAACATTGTAAGCATGTCTCCAGCAAGGAGCCATCTTGGGGTCAACGTATTTCGTAATGACCATACACAAGGCGCACCGGATTTTAAGGCGCGCCGTGAGCTTTTAAGAAAATGGAAGACTTTTTGGTGCGCCCTATAGTGTGGAAAATACGGTACAATTGGTTTTGTGTGTGTGTTCATTCCTACAGGAATGGTGCGGGCCGTGGGTGTTCCTGATCTTCATGACCTTCCTGGTGATCTTCTTCATCTTCACCTTCCTCAAAGTCCCGGAGACCAAAGGCAAAACGTTTGAGGAGATCTCCCGCAGTTTCACCGGCGGGGGCGCCGCCTCATCCCCCGTAGAGGCCCGCCCGCACCGTCCCGAGGGCGGCAACGGCACCGCCAAGGAGGAGAAGCGAGACGAGAAGGAGAAGCTCCCCCTAGTGGAGACGGGCGCCGGCAACAACGGCGAGACGGAGCCCCTCCAGGAGAAATCGGTGGTATTGGAGAGCGTCTAGACGCAAAGGAAACGAGACCGTCAAAGGCCGCTTCCGCAACATCCTCAATATCGATTTTTTGTCTTTTGGCTTTTCCGTGCAATCGACATTGCGCTAAGTCAAGTTGTGCTCGTTCAAGCCGCGTCTCTTGGCCAGCGGGCGTGGTCGGCCGTCATGTTTGGATCATTTCGTGTGCGTGCGTGCGTCACTTTATAAGCTTTGATGTAGACACAAGCTAAAACTGCGCAGGAAAATGTGTTAATTTCTGATCATTTATTCATCCATTTCATTCAATCATGCTTGATCGGAAGTTACTAAAAAAACATTTAGTTCCATAACTCGTTAATTGATTTACTGCAAATAATTAAAAAAAAACATTTAAAATAAATACTTATTTCATTTGTATTTTAAATAGTTTAAGAAATTGTTCTGTTTTAAATTTTATTTCAAATGAATAGAATTCTTAAAATAGATTTAATTGCTTAAAATAAAAACAATTTAATGACAAAATAAAAAGCAATTTATTGACATTTTTACAAGAAATCTACTGCACGCTTATTTAACGACTTCATTCAGAGTCATTTTAGCTTTTCTTCCACTCAAATTATTAAACTGCTGTACTCCGAAATGTAAGCTTGGGTGCGTTCCTGCTGCTGCTACCATGGCAACCACCCACTTGACAGTATTGCGTCATCTTTGGCAAAGGCTTTTAGGAAGTGTAGTTTCTTCACTTGACTCCACGGCGACATTTCGTGCTTTTTTGGAGTTTTTTTTAAAAACAACTTTTAATGAGTGTTGTCAGGCCTTATTGTGTCGTTATTATTGTTAGCTTAAAGTCAGCAATACCAAAGCTCATTTTTTTTGTCCTTTGTGCCACCTTGCTGATGTATTACAGCACCCAACCGTTACATTCCCCCACCAAATCTATTTTGCTACACCACGAGATGAGAAGTATATAAGTAGAGAGTATTTTTTTCAAGAGAGCCATTTGTTTTTTCTGACGGTTGATGAAGGGAAAAGAACGGAGGCTAAGTGCAATAATAGTAGACAGTGTGACTCCACAGTCGTCTCGTCGACTGTCCACTCGACTCATTCACTCCCAAAGACATATTTCGAGGACTTTTCAGATTCAATCCCAGGTAGAGGTTAGGTTAAAAAAAAAGGGATTAAAAATGGCTGCTACATATATAACCCAGAAGTAGAATTGTAACGTTTTCCAAACTGAAGATGAAAGCAACAGTTAAGATTGACCGTGAACAGATAGTTCAATCGGTTAAGCACTTTAGAAGAATCCCCAAAAACGGTGGCAAAGAAACTGTGTGATCTACTGACCTAACATTGAGAGACCCTGCAAAGGGAATTCCCACATTTTTTGGGGGCTGACGGGGCCTCTTTAGAGCACCTCGTTGCCCACAATAACCCGGTAGAGTATAGTTGCGCGTTTTAAATATATGCGCAGGTAGAAGAAACATGCTAAATGATGCTAGCATCTATTTTTCCAGGTTGTTGCAGCAGTATTTATGATAGACAGTGGAAAGGGGCGTGGCCTCAGTGCATTCAGCAGACATGGTCAGCGTTCACAGCGTTTTCAAAGTGGAAAGAACGCCTTCATTTTTTTTCACCATATGCCAGCCTCATTTTAAATTCATGGCTTTTTTTGCGGGTTGAAATTTGGCAGAGATTTTACTTTCCACTTTACAGGGATTTTCAAGTCATGGAGGGCAAGTGCTAATATGTATAAACATCGCATCCACTACTGTAAATTGACTTTCATCCTTTTATTTTTCACAATGATACCAAAAGACTTGGCAGGATGTTTGCAATTTTATTATTTTCCAGATTTCCAAATGTTTTATGGAAAGGGGTTCTCAAATTCTTAACAATTGAACAAAATTACCAATGTGACACGCACACGTTGTCCAAAATGCAATTGTCATCTCGGATTTCACGCAAGATGAGGGAATTGCTTGAAAAGGGCCTCCAAAGAGCCGATGATTTTAATCCACTATACACGTGTGTCGCATCATTGTGCATCATTGTGCTCAGTGCAATCCTTTGAATTGTTCTCATGATTGTTGAAAATTAGTCATTTGTCTCACGAGCCTCAAATTCAATTGTGGCCACACCGGAACATGTGCACAAAATAGCAATTTGTGATCACGAATTGGCGAAAGGTGCAAGCACAAATAGACATGAATGCTACTGTTGCACGTTATGCCCATTTGGTGGTCGCCACTCGCATATCATATACGTTTGAACTACCATGCAGAAAGACATCCCAGACTGAATATTGAAAATCGTGAGCAAATTGTACTTATTTGTGAGGTAAATCAAAATGTCCTCTTCTCCCAGCAGATTATGAGATTATGTGCTGTGGGTCCTCATTTTGGTTGTTCTCAAACTTTTCAGACCAAGTACCACCCACGCAAAAAAAAACTTGCCGCAAAATGCAGTGGCATAGTGGACCTAAGTATGAACATCAACACTGTATTCAGATGTATGTTAAAAGCATAAAAGTTCAAAAGTGCACCTAAATTAAAGTTCTTGAAGATCAAACGCAAACATAGCGTACAAAAAGGGTCAATACAACCGAACTGTTCTCCGATGCTAATTTTGTCACTTATCACTGGAGGCACGAGTGCCACACGTCTATTTTTTTAAAGGCACGTTTTTGTATTTCATGGTCACAAATGAGCATTTGTACACTCGCATATGGCCAAAATTGTGATTTTTTTTCCCCCCCATGTGAGGTGAATTGAAGTCAGTCGAGTAAATTTTCCCGCGTGTACGTGTTGGCTTCTGCTTTGTGACTTTGTGAATCGCCGTGACAATGTCGTGTGGTAGCAAGTGTGTTTTAGTGCCCGTGTGATGACGCAAATTAAATTTGGGGTGATTTCTTGACTGACGCTACACTTTTGACTCCCGCCAAGGATTCACAAGAGATGTTTATTCAAAAAGAAAGTGTAATTGCCGGACATTGAGCTTGTTGAGAAGAATTTTTTTGTTGTGACGTGACATGACCGCGACATGTGATGACGTACACTCAACGCGCTGTGACCACACGCACGCTCGCTCACTCGCTAGCCGGCTACGGTTTTGTGAGCATGGCGAGCCACTGGGGTCCTCCTTTTCACATGTTGTCGCCTGTTGTATCGAGAGTGTTTGTGTTTAGTGTGCTTTACTTGTTTGTACTCTCCATATAGAATTTGGTGGAATAAATCCCGTTCACAAAAGCAAGAGACATCCGGAGTCAGGGAGTGGAGTTTTTTTGCGTTACTAAACATAGGCAGATTTTCCAAGAATGTTTTTATACAAAGATTTACTACCTTAATCCTCACTTGTATTTTTAGAAATAGATGGGGAAACAAGGATAAAGCGGTTCAGCTCGTGGAAAGATGGAACTATTTAAAAAATGTTTTTTCAATAATCTTTCAACTTTTTTGAAAGCATACATTAACTCAACATTTTAAGATTTTTACATACGTATGTCTTTTTTCTTACACGAATTTAAATATCACTTAACTAGAAGAGAACTAGAAATGGGCTTTGACATTGTCAGAGCCTGCCAGTCTTCCGCTGATCGATCGGCGCTCACTCGGCACCCTCGTGGCCGTTCCGATGGTCGACGCCACCGGCCGGTTCCGTCCACCGGAACCGTCTAAGCAACAACGCGCAACCCGCCGGGGCGGACAGGAAGGCGGCGGGCGGGTAGGCAGGAAAACCGGAAGCCATGAAGGCAGACACTCCGTCAGGTGCGAGCCGGAGGAGAAGTGGCGTCGGGAAGGGCGACGAGCCGCAGAGCATCCACTTATTTGCTGCAAGCAAGCAGGTTCGGTGTTGCTTTTGGGGATGCTAGCTTGCTAGAAGCTAACGTTAGCCGACTGTTGTGATGTTCACACACTTCGGACAGCGTTTTCCTCTTTGAATACGGAGACGCCTCTTTAGACGTCAGCGCGGCCGCCATATTGTATGTGGCAGATTTGTATCGAATCTAATCAAGTCAATGGGCTAAATTTGAGGGGAAAAACGCGAGAGACGATCTGAGTTCTATTAAATGTTTACTGGACCTGAGAGAAAATATTCGTACCAGGAACATTGTCGATTTCTAAGTGGAGGTACTAGCCCACCAGTATACACGCTTGTGCCATGATAAGGTTCCAGTCGCAATGGAAAGTACTCGTACCAGGACAATTTTTCAGTCACAAGTGAAGCCTCTAGTCCCAAGCGAAACTTCTAGCACCAAAAACATGGTCTAATCCAGTGTTTTTCAAACTTTTTTGAGCCAAGGCACACTTATTTCATTGGAAAAATCTCGCGGCACACCACTAGCTGAAAATGTGAAGAAAAAAAAAACATTTATTTGAATAATTAATGTGTTGATACTATAACCGTTTTTAGCATTGAAGAATGACATTATAACAGCTTGAATTGGAATCAAATGAACACAAAGAAAAAAGTATTTTCTCATCTTTCATATTTATTCTTTCACCGTCGTCCTGCATTGATGCGTCACAAATCGCTTGTCTCTCGTCGAAACACAAGGCAATTGGCTAGCTGTTGCTGCTCCCTGGGCGAAAGACCCCACAGGCATACAAATTGTATATTTTCCCACGGCGCACCTGACAATGTCTCGCGGCACACTGGTATGTCGCGGCACACGGGTTGAAAAACGCTGGAATTTGAACCTTCACTTGGGATTAGACTCTAATCCCAAGTGAAGGTTCAAGTTCCTGGTATAGGTTCGAGTCTGAAGAGACGCTCTCCCCCTGAAAGACTGTTGTAGTCCTAAGTGACGGTCCTAGTCCATATGTGCTTTTACTCAACCGTCAGGTAAATGAGCTCATGGGGAGTCCAGAGAGAAGTTTCAAGTTCAAAATTCATGGCTCGGTTTTATGTTGCTCCGCATTCGCTTGCAAAACTGGATTGGTTCAAATCGAAATTTAATATCCATCGAAACCCACCTTTGATCGGCACCCGGTCCATCATGATGTTCATGTGTGTCTGCCCTCAGTAACCACGGAGATGGACAGCGAGTGCCAACAGCAACAGGGGGGCCTTGGCCAAAGAGAGCGCTACATCTGGGATCAGTCCCCGGCCCGTGGCTATCAACTCCATGTCGCTGTGTGAAAGGCAGGCGGTGCAGGTGTGTGCGCGCATATGGCGCACAATGCATTGCATCCAATTTACTGATGCATTATGCCAACAATGTGAATTTTTTCATCACTCCCTCACTGTCTGTAATGTGTCCTGTGAATGACAGGCAACCAGTCTGTTTTTTTTATTGATGTGTGGCATTTGATTGACTGGTGACCCGTTCTTTGTGTTCAGGCCCCGCAGGCAGCCGCACGCTGCGCAGTACTTCCAGCATCTGATGTTGCAGCAGCCCGTCTACAAAGCGCAACTGCACAACATGGCCACCGCTAAGCAGTTTAAGGTGCCTACGTACCTGCGTGCGTGCGTGTGTGTTTGTGTCTCCGTGCATGTTGGCCTTACTAGAAGGCAGAATTTTGTCATAACTTATGACAAAATTCTGCCTTATGACTCATAAGCAAATGTAGTGGAAAGCCGAGCTCCTTCGGCAGAAGTTACAAAACATCAAAGCTCCTCAAGTAAAGTTACGATCAGGAGGGGAGAAAGTCTTGTTGGTTTGTGTCTGCATGACTGTGTTATACTGCCGCCCGGTGGCCTTTATAAAGTGATCCATGCTCTTCGTTAGCTCTTCTATGGGGTTTTGCAGTATGCGTTAGCAATAAGCTAAATTGACTTGAGAAAGGTGCCATCCTCTTTCTGCGCTCATCTCAAAATTTTTGCGCTCTAGTCAAATTAAAAAAAAAATGGCCTGAAGAACTGGACTCATCTCGTAGGGGCACACCCGTTCCAGTAAGAAAAGGTCTTGCACAAATCCGATTTGGCGGTTGTCCGTTTGTTTTTTTCCAAGCGGCAGTTGCTTTGGTTGAATCATGTGGACTGTTGACGTCTGTTTCGGAGCGGACCGCCGTGATTTTGAACACTGGACGCTTTTGTCAGCTTGAGGTCAGTGGTCGAGCACCAGGTCTCTCCGGCAAATGTTTTGGACCTCTCGTGTTTACGGCAGCGTTACGGGCCGCCTTGACTACATCACACACGACCCAAGTCAACATCGTGGACCCACCAAATGCTCGCTTTGTGTGTGTTTCAATTTAAACTTCCTGGATTAAATTTTTTTTTTTGTCAAACGCTCTCTCACATTACCGAAAGGGTCTCACACACATCACTATCAAATATGATTCACTCACATGCACTTCTGAAACGCTCTCACATTCGTGAAATGCTGTCACAGGCCCAAAAAAACAACAGCAACTGAAATCCTCAAACATCATATTGAAAAGCTCTCATATAATCTAGTATTTGGGCGTTGTATTTACAGTGGCCAAATAAATTTATACTGTAGCATCATCGATCCTTGCCCATTTAGCAGCAAAGCGTGCACGCGTGAGGCACAATCAGAGCAGAGCGAAGTTGTAGGCCTCGGCGTAGCCCGCCTGGCGCAGGTACTTCTCCACGTCCAGCGGCACGGCGGACTGGATGAGCGTCCGTCCGTTGGCCGTCATCTCTCCCACACGCAGCTTCTCGAGTAACGCGGCCATGGTGATGCGCCGCCTCGGGCTCCGCTGGCAGCACGACGATATGACGGCGAACCTGCCGGCCCATTCGGAGTCAGTTCGTGTATTAGCACGTTAGCATGTTAGCTGTACCTACAGCGCGCTTGAGCAGGCGGGCGGACGTTGTAGGTCATTTTCTCTCTGGAGGTGCTGCAGGAGGTCCTCCGTTCGCACTTGCGCAAATGGCGGCTCACCTGCACGCAACCACATGCGCACCACTTTGGATGGACTGAAAACGTTAATTTTATTCCCCCCACCCCCAGCAAATGCTTTTAAAGAAGCAAATTCCAATTGTATTTTCTTTTTCCTCGAAATCATAAAACATAACTCTATAAGGCAATATGACATTATTCTTACTGCGCATTTTCCTCTAAAAGCTTTTTAAAAGATTACTATTCTCGTGATATTGTGATTTTAAAAAATCGTGACGAAAACAAGATATTTTGCACTGAAAAAACTACTCATCAAATAATTTTATTCATATTTTGACATTTAAAAAAAAAAAAACTTTTGTTCATGTTCCAGTAAACTTTTGACCGTCCCAAAGTTCAACATGAGTATTTAATTTGAAAACTTTTTACAATAACATACAACATTTTACATTCAAACATATGACAAGATATTTAGTCCTGAAAATTTTGATTTCATACTTGTAATATTTTGACTTTTCTTGAAAATAGATCCTACTGAACAAAATAAGACCTAATTATTCTAATATTAGAGCTTTCAGTCTTGGGGGATTTTTTTTTTACATCCAAAAAAAAATGTAATTTTATATATATATGTATATATAATTTTTATATCAAGATTGTAATTTTAATCTGGTAACATTGCAGCCATTATTCCTGTAAAGACCTGCTTGAACGTTGCATTTTTTTCCTTCAGTTGGACTTTATACTCCTTCGGCAACTTTTTGTCTGGAAAAAAAGATTGGCTTACAGTTTGACTGTTGGCTTACCTAACGTGATCATCTCGTAGAGCAGGAGCCCGAAGGACCACCTGCCGAAGAAATTTCCAATGTTAACTTTGGGGCCGAGTTTGGCAACGTTTGGCGAAGACGACGTCGGCGGCTCACACGTCGGCGCTGGGGCTGAAGTCTCTGCGGGCCAGCACCTCGGGCGCCTGCCACTTCTTCAGCTCAGTGGCGTCGGCGGCCCCGCTCGACGTTTGGCGGCGGTAGGCGGCGCCCAGACCCCACAGCTTGGCCGTCAGGTCACCACCCACCAGGACGCTGCGTGCGCACACGTTGCCGTGCACGCACCGCCGACTGTGCAGGTACTCCTGTAGCACACATGATGCACTTGATGTTGATGATGATGATGATGAGCGTTATGATGATTATTATTATTATGATGATGATCAATCAATGCCAAAAGAGAGAGTTGTTGTTATTCATTCAGCTATGCCAAACACTATAAGTAACCTGCAGAATATGGGTGACACTGCATGCTTGCGCTCAAACATTTGTCCGCATGAGCAAAATGGGAACCAACCAGTGCCAAGGCCACTTGCGTCGCCATGGCGAAGAGCCTCTTCTCTGTCATGTTGCAAGCCGATGCCTCCTTCGCACATGAAACAAACAGCAAAAAAAACGTCCCTTTCATGTCAGTTAGCTTGGAACTTATCTTGCTTTCAGTCACTCAACCAGTATGACATCTGGCCCTCAGAGGCTAAGAGTATGTAATGGCCTGTCGGGCGAACTATGACTCGAATTGGAGCATTTACATCATCAGCGGCGCTTGAGCGAAACCATGAGCGTGGTTACTGACCGGTCGCCTGCATCTCCACAGGAAGCCCAGCAAGTCTCGATGCCGCAGTTCCTCCACCACCATGAGGGTGGGCGGCGCCGGCGAGGGCGCGTCCGCCGGCCCAGTCATCACGGTCAGCACGGCCGGCAGGAACGGGTGCGGCCCCAAGCCCGACACGAACGAGGCGAAACTCAAGAAGCGCCGCCGCTCCTCGCCGCTGGCCGAATCTGCGGAGGAGGTCGCGTCACGCCGTTGTCATGGCAGCGCCTGCACTAACGTCTCACGGCGAGACTTGAACGACATGCGGTAGGACTGCGCGGGCCATAAGATGGCTTTTAAACCTCATTCACTCCCAAAGACGTTTTTATACATCTTTTCAGACTTGGTTTAGAATTGGCTGGTGCTGAATGAGTTTAGTCAGAGTCGTTAATTTTCTCTCGAATCAACACCAGGGCATGTGTAGACAAACAACAGGTTGGTCTTGAACTTGTTTTTTGTGACATACGGTAGCTAACACACCTTTGAGCACCCTCAGCACCACGTCCTTGTTGTCCATTCGTGCCTGGTATAATCGGACGCTCTCATCGCTGGAGACGGGTAGGGTCTGGGACAGTTCGACCACCTGCCCGAAAGTTCCGAGACGCCCCCCCGTGGTGGCCCGCCCAACTGCCGCGCCGCCCGCTCTCTTGTGTACGGCCATGGGCACCTCCTCGTGCTCCAGCGGGTCGATGCCAGGGGGTGCTACAGCAGACCAGAACACCCAAAAAAAAACCACATTTGGGGATGGTCTGCCACTATCGCGGCTTTTCACTTCCATCGCGTCCGGAAGGTAGACGTGCATTTACCATCGATGCCTTGCAAGTGGCGCGTTCGCCTGTGCAGCGAGCTGCTGTAGCGCGGCAGTGCGGAGGCGCGCTCGCGGTGACAGTAGGCCAAAACGAACATGACGGTGAGGGTGACCGCAGTGATCAGCAGGAGCACCGTCGGGACCACGATCACATCGAGTCGGTATGTCGCCACCGCTGCCCGACAAAACAAAGACCTTCAAAAACATTGCCGCCCTAACGGTAACAGTAGAGGATTTCAGGTGATGCAATGCCATCGCATGTGGGCAAGGAGAGTAACTGTTTTGAATGACATCACTGGCATTTGCTTTCAAAGTACCTGAAGATAAAAAAAAATCTACGTATTCAATTGAAACTGGAAAACTCATTTTTGTGAAGGAAAAAAATATTTTTATGGCAAGAAAAAAAACGGGGTTTTTTTCTTCCCGAAAATAAGGATTTGAACCAATAAACTTTTTGAGTGGGGAGAAAAACACTTGAAATGGAAATTGCCTCAAATAGGATTGACTAAAAAAAATTGGTCTAATCAACATAATACTAATAATTTTTCCATTACTCAGCTGTACTTAATATAAATATCCAACCGGTTCTTATGGTGTACTATTTGCTCATGTGGTGACGTTCCCATTGAGGCAGCCTTGACGGACCATGTCGGGAATGTTTTGCTCTTGGGCAACAGCGGCGAGGCAGATTGAGAAGCGAGGAGGAAAAGCAGGCAAGATGGAAGGAAGGCAGCGTCGAGGACGCTGAGGCCCTCGACACTCGAGTTCTTACTGCACAAGTCGTCGTCAGGGGCACACGTGCTGCTGGTTGTTGTTGTTGTGTCGTTCGACATGCTGCAATGGGACACACAACCCGTAACGTACTATAGCTGTTCACACGTTGTTGTTGTGACATTGTAATTAGCATCTTCCAACAGACGGATACTCACAATAGGCTGAAACTGTTCGGAGTCGCCTTTCCAACGTAATGAAATGAAGACTGATCCAAAAATATCTCCGCCGTTGAAAGTCTGACTGGTCTGTTGAAAAAAAAAAAAGAGAAACAAATCACACCGGTGCCTCCCAGCAACACTTGTTGTCATTTTTTTCCTGATAGAATAATTGGTTGCTTGACAGGCTTGACTTCAGACAGTGTCTGGCGCAACAACAAAGGGAGCGCACCCCCTTGGGAGATATGTTGCCACACCAGGAAGTCGGTCACATTTTTGGGGGGGTTGTGCTTGGCCATGCCCTAATCTTGCCTTTAACCCAGTTGTCAATTGAGAAACACGTCAGCCACTATGTCATCCCATGTGCAATACACACACACACACACACACACACACATTCATACAGATAATACACTAATAAACATGACGTACACACACACACACACACACACACATTCATACAGATAATACACAAATAAACATGGCATACACACACTTGGAGACTTTCACAGACACACACACAAACACGCCCGCAATAGAACCAGTTTGCCTCGGTTTTTATGAGTGCCGCTTGCGCAACAGCACCAACAGGTGCGCGCCACTACACAAAAACTATCGACGCGTTGCTGGTGATTGTAAGCAGCCGTGTTCTGGCATTGACTTCGCTGAGGTTTGCAACAACAAAATGGGCGCCCTTTCCCTCCTTACCTTCACGATCGGTCGGGGTACGTTCATGTCATCGTCACCAGCGCTCATGTTCGCGCGTCAGGACGCCGCCATGCGAGTTGCGGTTAAGTGTGTACGTGTGTCTCGCGGTCGGTTCGCTTGGCCTCCTCCCACTCCAGCGACACGCCCACCTGCCAGCCGATGGTGTCGCCGGAGGGAGGTGCGCCTCAAGTGACGTCATCGGCCGAGCGTACACCTTGACGCTGAGCTCAAGTGGGTATCATGATGATGATGCTTGCGTTGCCGCTTAGCGTCGCTACGTGATGCTTACGTCATCCAAGTGCATGAATCGGCACGGTGACGTTCGGCGACAGTTGCGCCACTCAAAAAAACTTTCAAGTGAAAGCACACCCTCAAAGAGTCCACACGAGCCCTTGTCGTCGACGGGGTGGCGGCAGGATTTTAAGCCGCTTTCAAGTGAAAGCACACCCTCAAAGAGTCCACACCCGCCCTCGTCGACGACGGGGTGGCGGCAGGATTTTTAAACCCAAATCATCACAGTTGAAAACAGAGATTGTCGATGGCTGATGTGCCCGAGAGGGCGTGTGGCCCTTGTGCGTCACTCAGTGTGTGTATGCATATATAAAGGGGCGTGTCTTTGTCAACGGGAGTGAGTCACTTTGTGATTTTGAGCACGCGCGTGTTGTGTGTATGCATATATAAAGGGGCGTGTCTTTGTCTCCGGGAGTGAGTCACTTTGTGATTTTGAGTGCGCGCGCGTGGTAAGTGTGAGTAATGGTTCGTTGCATGTAATGGCACAACAGCGATACTGTTCATGAGCCCGTCAATTACATTTTCCGTGACGTGTTAGCATGAAGCTAGCTAGCTGACACTGAAATCATTGTGGCTCTTTTGTATCGGCAAGCTGTGATTCTCTTTGTTTGTGGTGCGTATGAAGGTTTCACTGGTACGAAGGAGCGCTCGTATAGAAAAAGTGAAAAGTCTTCCAAAATCTTCCCGTAGCTCCAGAAGGCCATGGAGGGTTCGCGGCACTTCCGCCCGCCAGTCAGCCTTGGCCACATTGCATCAGGCACTGCAACTCTTGTCTCAGTGGCCGGCATTAGCCAAAGAGGTTTGATAACAACGGCAACCGCTTGTCATTGTCTAATTTATGGACCATATCCTGGACTAGCTAGTGACCACTGCATCTTTATTGCGCACAATGATGATGTCCTGATTGGTCGCATTGACGGCATGACTTGAAGCTGCTAACCTGCTGCGTGTTGTTTCTTTGAAAATACCGAAACCCTCCAGTCTGAGCAGCGTGCGATCAAATCTGTGCCCCAGCTGACAGAATGCTTTTATTTTGAAGGTCTGACTGTTGACAGTGTTCCCCACATGTTGCCCGAGCAGAGCGGGAGGCTTCTTATTACCCTGAGTTGAGAAGGAAGCCTTGCAGTAGTGCAAGATGCCTTGCCGTCTGTTGAGCTTTCTCCACACAACTCACAAAATGTATCGAAATGGCTGAGTCGCGCGTTCCTCTGTGAAAACTGAGCAGATGTCCGGAAACCAGCATTTAGATGAAACAAAAACCAAAGTTCCACTTGACTTGATGAGATGCACAAATACATGTCTGTGTTTATGTCGATGTTCTTCCCTTTTTATTATCTAAAGCAATTGGATAGAGTGCGACACTGTGGCAAGCACTCAGTGTCGGCCAAGTCTGCCGGAAGTTCCAGAAGGCGGATTTGAAGCAAAAGCTGCCTTCTACATCTTGTCTCTGTTCTCTGCTTGTGTTTGTCCCGCCTCTGAATTGCGATGCTTTCGCTGCTTTAACTTCCTGTCCGCTGGTTTTTGGTCCCCCAAAATGTTTTTTTTTTTGTTTTGTTTTGCTTGATTAATGTTCCACATCCTGCCGGTTATTCCTTCAGTAATATCGAGATAATATCAAGATTGATTATTGGACTTGTGTCGATGTGAACTTTGTGTCTCAGTTGGTGGCCACCACGATGACGCCACCGCCGCCCTCGTCCACGTCGTCGTCCTTCTCCTCCATCGACTGGACGAGGCACGACGTCACGTCGAAAGGGATCACCTCGGCCGGCGTTCCTGGGCTGGCACCTCTTGCGGATGGCGTGTCCTCCCACAGTGGGGACGGGCTCGGAAGGCACGGCTTGGTCTCCGTGCTCAATGTGACCTCCTCCACCTGTCCGCGCACGAAGGATTGCTTGGTTGTCCAACAGCTGGCCACAAACAAACAAACGACAGACTGGTGTGACTCACCTTGGTGAGTTCCTCCTTCTCCTCTTCTCCGTCGTTGCATTGCTCCGCGTAACCAAAGACGTTGATATCCACCTGGTCCCCGCCGCCCGCCATTTCCGCCAGCTGTCCGACGAGCTCCGCCTGCAACGAACACAGACATCGCTCAGGCTGACGCGTCCGACGACGTCGCCTTACCGGCGGCTGAGCTACCTGGTGCGCCTCCGCCTGCGCCGCCCCCCACAGGTCGGCTAGGCGTGCGTGCGTGGCTGGGCCCGGGCTGTGGATGGTGCTGTTGGGCGTGGCCTGAAGGGAACGGGAGCCACTGTGCAACAACTGGCCGCCACCAAGAACAGACATATGACAAGACTGGTAAATCGAAATATTTTTGACATGATATATAAATTTGACTTGCGAGGTAGTTCCTCTTCAGCGCAAGAGAGCAAGGTTAGAAGCTTACAGTCCGTTACAGAGCTAGAGTTATATGGGGACTGGTCAGCAGAGTGCGCAAACGATGCTACTGCACCGCCATATTACTTCCAACAAGACAAAAAAAAAAAAAAAAAATTAAAATTGATCATTCAATAAAAATATTTTGAAACATGTTTTTAAATGAGCAGGATAGATGCTAGATAGAAAATGATGAGTAAAGTTTTTGTTGTCTGATTTTGTGCCGCCTTCCCGGCATGGGGTGGGCAAATCTTCAGTGCAGTTCTGAAGATGGGACCAAGGTGGGGTGAGCTGGGTGACTGACTTTTCCGTATTCAAACCGTCTGTCAAGATCATCGTCATGGCGGCGGCGGCGGCGGCGGCACCTGTTGCTGCTGCTGGTATTGCAACAGGAGCTGCTGCTGCTGGTACTGGTGCAGCTGCTGCAGTTGCTGCAGCTGGTTGTGCTGCTGGAGACTGAGCTGCTGCTGCTGGAGGAAACTGCCCATCGTCGACTCGTAGCCTTCGGCCGGCGTCATGCCCGCGCCGCTGCCTGCAAAGCGACACGCGCGTTTGAGACGAGACACGCAGACGGGCAGACGGTTATCCCACCTGCTGCCAGGATGTAGGAGCCCCCGGCCGGTGAAGCCGCACGTGAAGGCTGACTGCTGATTGGCTCCCACGCGTCGGACGAGGACAGACAGTAGAGGCCCTGGGACACGTACGTGTGAGGCCACACGTCTGCTGTGGAGTGGTGGAGGACCTGGTCTGTACCACACACACACACACACACACACACACACACACACACACACACACACACACACACACACACACACACACACACACGAGCAGTGAGGGCACGCCATTGTCTCATTGGATTCCAAATCCCCAAAGGATGTTAGCTTCACTTTGAATTGTCCATAATGTGACTTTGAATGGTGGTTTGTCAATATGTGTCCTCCGATTGACTGGCAGCTTCTCCAGGGCGTACCTCGCCTCTTTCACAAAGTCAGCTGGGATAGATGACAGTTCACCCTTGTGAGGGCAAATGGAATACAAGAGCGATGGAGAGCGACTTACCTCCTTACTAAGACATCATTACTCACCTACTTGCAAACTTACCTCTTGTAAACATCAGCCTATTTACTTCTCTGCCTATTGACGCGATACTGTGACTACTGATCTGGGCTTGTGGACACGACACAAGAAGAGCGTGACGCGAGCTGACGGCGGTTCGCTGTGGCTTCACGCTCAGCTGTTTGTTGGGTTGTTTGAGACGATTTGATTTCGCAAAAATGTGCCCTTCAGATGACTTCCGCTGACAACCCAGACTAAACTCAGCTCCTCCCTGACACCCAAAGAGTGTATCAATTGCATATCGATTGCACACTTGTTTGATTACTGTACAACCTTCCGATAAGTTAGGGCAGGGGTCGGCAACCCAAAATGTTGAAAGAGCTATATAGGACAAAAAAAAACAAAAAACAAATATGTCTGGAGCCACAAAAAAATAGAAGCCATCAATAAAACTTACAATGAAGGAAACACATGCTGTATGTATGTAGGAGACTGGACTGTCTCAGAATTGTTTGTTATTCATTCCTTTGTTGTGTGTTCACAAACGCCCCCATAGAATTTATTTTGTGATTTCCTCGCTTGATGTTTTGTTTTGGTGCATTATTTTCGCTTTTCTTAGTGTCAATGAAATGATCATGGATTTCCGTTTTTCGGAGGCTGTGTTTGAACGCCTCTCGAGTCGAACGAGAAGAGAGAAAGCACGGAGTCGGACGCAGACGTGTCTGTGTTTGTCGAGACTGTTAAAAGCATAAATAAAGTGTACGTTTTAAAAAAAAACAACACCACAGCTCTCCTTGTTTCGGAGCTGAAACATATTGAATAATCTTGCACAGTAATATGAGTACAACTGGTGATATGTAGGCTCCCTCTAGTGGTATGCAAAAGAGCGAACATCACGATAACCCACCTAAAAAATAAATATATCTATATATTTTTAATACATGTACAGTATTGGGAAAAATTGAAAAAAAAAGATATCAGACTGTATTTGCTGAGAAACCTCGCATTATTAACAAAGGCCCCCTGGGCGCCCCCGCCGAGGGTTTGCCCCAACTCTGCCACTCGATCATGTGGGCCACGCGGCCCTGCGCCATGGCGGTGGGCTTGGTCACCTTGTCCTTCATGGAGCGCGTCACGCCTGAGGGAGGAGGGATCGCACGTCATCTTGGGAGTCTCTGCCACGGTGAGCGCGGGCGGCGGCACGTGGGGGTGAGAAACACCAAAACTCGAAAACTGCAACTCGTGTACAAATTGCAGGGCGAGTTCAAGCTGAGCTGAATGAATTGAAATGTCGAGATGTACAACGTGACACTTGGAAGTTGGAACCATTATAAGCAGCGAGTGAGAGCTAAATGTGTCTTTATCCGGGAATGTCATTGTGACAGAATTTCCCAAGGTGACCCGGATGAGTTGTACGGTTTGAAGTTGCAAAATTGCTCATGAAATGTGGAAGGAGCAGGGGAACGTGTAAAGTGAGAAGGTTTCTGTGGGGAATGGGCTAACATCCTGAACAGTTTGAAGTTGGAATGCTTTGAATGAGTGAGAAATTTGGGAACGGTTGAGCGAAATTTTCCATTCATTTCCATGCACACTTTTTTTTTTTTTTTACTGGGAAAATGTGGAACTGTGGGCGACTTGTGAATGGAGTGAACGTGGGAAAAAGGAGCCAGCGAGTGAGTGAGTGAGTGAGTGTTGAAACCCCGCCCCCCAAAGAATGACATCAACTTTGTACTCCAACAGACACCACCAACATCGAGCATAAGCAGAAAACAGAGCGCGCCGCCTACAGACAAGACACCACAGTGCACCACAGAAAGAAGCCAGACGCCGCGAGATCAGCGGCACCACGCGGTGAGCGAGCGGCCGACGCCCCAACACGCCTGCGACCTGCCTGACTTGTTCTTTTTGTGTTG